TTTCCGTGGCACCAGAAGATCAAGAGAAGACGGCTTTTACATGCCCTTACAGTTTTTTTGCTTATAGAAGAATGCCATTTGGGTTATGTAATGCTCCTACCACATTTCAGAGATGCATGACTTCCATTTCCACTGATATGTTGGAAAAACATATGGAAGTCTTCATGGATGACTTCTCGGTATTTGGATCTTCTTTTGATAATTGTTTAACTAACCTTTCTCTTGTTTTACAAAGATTCTAAGAAAGCAACTTAATCCTCAACTAGGAGAAGTGTCACTTCATGGTACGTGAAGGAATAGTCTCGGGTCACAAAATTTCTCACAAAGGAATCAAAGTGGACCAAGCCAAAGTAGAAGTAATATCAAAACTTCCCCCTCCATTGAACGAAAAAGGTATAAGAAGTTTCTTAGGCCATGCGGATTTTTACCGCCGGTTCATAAGAGATTTTTCAAAAATAGCCAAACCTCTAACCACTCTTTTGGTTAAGGATAAGGCTTTTGAATTTGATGAAAAGTGTGCCGAGACGTTTGAAAAATTGAAAAATAAATTAATATCGGCACCGATTGTGATTGCCCCCGATTGGTCTCTCCCATTTGAGATCATGTGTGATGCAAGCGACATTGCAGTAGGGACTGTTTTAGGACAGCGAAGAGATAAATTATTACATGTTATTTACTATGCTAGTCATGTGTTGAACCTCGCAGAAATGAACTACGCAACTACCGAAAAGGAGTTGTTAGCAGTAGTTTATGCCTTTGATAAATTCAGGCAATATCTATTGGGTTCGAAAGTTATTGTGTATACTGACCATGCTGCTTTAAAGTACTTGTTTAATAAACATGATTCTAAGCCAAGGCTCTTAAGGTGGATTCTACTCCTGCAGGAGTTTGATATGGAGATCCGTGAAAAGAGAGGATGTGAAAATACTGTTGCTGATCATCTCTCTTGAATGTCACAAATTGAAGAAACCAAGGAAAATCACCCAATAAAGGATGAACTTACTGACGAACACATCCTTGCTGTTATCGGTATCCCCTGGTTTGCAGACTGTGCAAATTATCTAGTAGGCAGTATCATCCCCAACGATTTTAATGCTAACAAAAAGAAAAAGTTTTTACATGATTGCAGGTTCTATTTGGGGGGTGATCAATTCTTGTATAAAAGAAGCCTAGATGGATTGATCAGGAGATGTGTTCCTGAAGACGAGCAGAGGGATGTTCCTAAAGCATGTCATAACTCAGGTTATGAATGGCATTTCAGTGGTGATCGAACCACAACCAAAAGTTCTACAATCAGGGTTGTATTGGCCGTCATTATTCAAAGATGCCCAAGACATAGTCAAAGAATGTGACAAGTGTAAATGGACGGGTAATATCTCAAAGAGAAATCAGATGCCACAAAACTCCACTATGAAAGTTGAGTTATTTGATGTTTAAGGCATCGACTTTATGGGCCCATTTCCTCCCTCTTTTGGTAAAAATTAAATTTTGGTAGCAGTTGAATATGTCTCGAAGTGGGTAGAAGTCGTGGCTCTGCCAACTAATGATGCTAAAGTTGTGATCAAATTCTTGAAAGAGAACATATTTTCTTAGTTTGGAGTGCCAATGGCTCTTATAAGTGATGAGGGAACTCACTTCCTGAATAATCTCATGGAAAGGCTACTCTTGAAATACAATATGAAACACATAATAGCTACTTCCTACCATCCACAAACTAATGGACAAGTAGAGGTGTCGAGTCGACAACTGAAACAAATCCTAGAAAAGAGAATGCGTTCCTCTCGAAAGGATTAGGTAGTGAAGTTGGACGATGTTTTGTGGGGGTACCGTGCTGCTTTTTAAACGCTCATAGGTATGTCACCTTACCAACTAGTTTATGGAAAATCATGATATTTACCACTCGAGTTGGAACACAGGGCCTTGTGGGCCTCAAAATTCCTTAATTTGGATCTTACTAAAGCAGGAGATTCTAGAATCCTCCAATTCTATGAGTTAGAAGAATTTCGGAATTGGGCGTATGAGAATGTCAAGATTTACAAAGGTCAAACTAAGAAATGGCATGTCGGAGGATTCAAAAGAAAGATTTTTGGGAAGGACAGTTGGTGCTATTGTATAATTCCAGGTTGAAACTTTTTCTTGGAAAACTGAAGTCTAAATGGTCAGGACCGTTCATGGTACACAAGGTGTTTCCCCATGGAGCGATAGAATTGAAAAATCAAGCGAATGAGGATATTTTTAAAGTTAATGGATAGAGACTGAAACGCTATTATCAAGGTCAAGAAAGGGGTAGTAGTGATGTTGTTCATCTTACAGGATAAGATGAGTGACCGCCGAGCTATGCAACGTTAAACGAAGCGCTGCGTGAGAGGCAACCCACGCCCTTTTTTTTCCTAAGGTTTGTGTTCTTCTCTTTTTTGCTAGGTTTTGTCGACATGTAGTACACTCACAGAAATGGAGAGGTCACCCTAAAGAGCATTATTTTGGAGGAAAATATTACATAATCAAGTGTGCTTGTGAGACATCGGAAAAAGCCAGAAAAAAATCAAAGTATGAAAAAACAGGGGCCTAACACGGTCGCCCGTGTCAGGAAGGTGTCTGATGTTGTTTTTTTTCCAGTGGGCTGACACGGCCGCCCGTGTCAGCTGGCACGACCCTGTTGTACCCTAAAATTTGCCCTAGTTTTTTTCTAACTTTTACTGGCTTTTGTTTCACATTCATCTGCATATTATTCAGTTCACAATAATGATCTTCATTGGTTTTCTAATACATGGGATCGGGATTTTCTATGAATCAGATCATCCAGTATCTCGCTTACTTTCCTCAAGAGATGTAAGGCATCAAGAACCTAGGGTTTCATATTTCTTTTGATTCAAGTTTGTTGGCAAACTTATGTTCAACCAGCTCGAGATTGGGGTTTGCCTCTCATCATGGATCAGGGTTACCAAGGATGATGGCCTAGCTTCAATTCAAGTGTGGTTATTGGGTGGCGATTAAGATCGGATAGAAGTTTAACCTAATTCTGGGTCAAACCATCAAGAATTTTCTTCAGTTGCAAGTTATCTGTACCGGTGGCTACTTCTCAGACAATGTGTATTCAAGGTCAATTTGTTCTATGTGGAGGTTATCAGGTTATTAAATATTGGTTCATGAAGAGTTTGGTGTAAAAGTTAGGATCATCATAATCCATCAGTTCAAATAATGCTCCTCTGTGAATTTATTTTTCTTGAGACTTATCCAGATATATTCAAGATGGTTCAAGATGTTCTTGATTGAAGATTCAGACATTGGCTTATTCAGATGGTTGTCGTTGTTGCAAGTTGTTTAGTGGTAACTATGTACATTTAATAAGATGTCGGTAAAAAGTTAGAAGTAGGTTTTGGGCTCATTTCAGCTGAGTTCATAATCCACTAAAGTCCATATCTATCCATTCCATGTTTCAATTCCTAACCAATGTTCAAATTTCATTCGAGGGTCAACTCAAAGTGGAAAGTCCAACATAAAAATACACAAGTCAAAAAAAGCTCATGGAAATAATTGTTAAGCCCATATCATTTTTCTTTTGTCCAATCCATATCCATTATTAGATTAGATTGAGTTCATACAAAATTACCAAAATCCCTTATCCAATAACCACATTTCAATCTCCATAGTCATAACCTTTCATTATCCACTTTTATTTCAAAATCCAATTCTAGAATCCAAGTATCCATTTTGGCCATTTTTATGTCCACTTAATTGCAAATATCCATCCATAACAACCTTTGAATAACATTTTTTTTAAAGTCCACTTTTTCCAATCCATTTCAAATAAAACCATTCCTTTAGATAAATATTCTAGATCAAATTATTTTTATATTCATTTTAATCGTTTTCTTTAAATCCACTTTTAACATCCAATTATTCACTAACTTTTCTCATTAACCATTAATCCATACTCATGTCCATTTCCAAAAATTACATTATTTTTATCAATTCCTTTTTATTATTATACAAAAGAATCCAAATATTCATATCATCTCTTAGCCTATTTAATATCCAAAATCCCATTTTTACACATGACCATGGTGCTTATCCCACAAGCCCACAAGCGAAGTCCACAAAAGAGGGGAACCAAGCAGTACATGGTCTATCAGAAATGAAACAAGGCGCCTGATGAGCAAGAGCTTTATCGAAGTAAGGAAAATATAATACATGGGAATGAGAAGAATAACACAATTGCAAAATAACTGTCTCATAAAAAACCAGTACTGGCTAAACCTGCAAGACCCCACCTTCACCTGTACAAACCAGAATCAACTACACGCCAAACTACACAAAAATTGCAACGGCCACATTTTTCTTTCGCAAAGCCACTAACCTGCTGCAAACAGCTAAACCCTAACAAATTCAAAGTGAAAACTCTATCCTACACTTCCAATTCTGGTACAAAACAGTTGCATATCCATCGTGTTAAATAGAGGGCCATTTCTTTCTATTCATTATTGTACACCAGTTCTTTACTCCTCATCAATTCATGAAATCAACAACAACCTTTTGCAATTCGCATCATCATCATCATAACCTACAAGAACTTGCAGCAACAACAATGATTCATGTGCAAAGAAAAGGAGAATAAGAAGAAAAATGGATCGAATTCAAAGAAGCAGTAGGGAAATAAGAAAGTTCGATAAAAACTCACCGGTAATTCGACGTCAACATTGTCGTTACGCAGGTATGTGAATCTCCATTCGAATCTCACGTTTGTAATGCAGTTGCTATGGTTTATTAATTCCTGATTGCTCCACTGTGGTTAAGTTTTCTTGTTTCGATTGCAATTCTTAACTCAGAATGAGATTCAGAGCAAGTCGTTTTAGTTTTTTTTTGTGGAAAGAGCTTTAGAGCATTTCGTGCGTGTAGTGATTGATGAAGGTAGTCCGTCGTCGCAGGCGTAAATCCACGACGTGGCAGAGGGTTTCATTAGTAGATGGATGGGTTGAAGTTTGAGAGACAGAGAAAGAGAGATGGATCCATACACGTTGGCAAAGGCATTTGTGGAGCACTACTACACCACCTTCGACAGCAAACGTGCTGGACTTGCCACTCTTTACAAAGAAGGATCCATGCTTACCTTCAAAGGTCAGAAGATTCAAGGTTCCCCCAACATCGTCGCCAAGCTCACTTCACTCCCTTTCCAGCAGTGCCATCACACCATCACCACCGTCGATTGCCAACCCTCCACTGTCAACGATGGCATGCTTGTCTTCGTCAGCGGTAACCTTAAACTTGGCGGTGAACAACACGCCCTCAATTTCAGTCAGATGTTCCATTTGATACCGAAACCGCAAGGAAGCTATTATCTGCATAATGACATATTCCGTTTGAACTATGCCTGAAGACAGACCATCAAATATATGACTTGAAAGGCCATTGGGCCTGAATCTCAGCCCATCTGCCTGTTCCTGTTTTCCACCCCCATTTTATTTTCTGCCCCTTTGTTTTGTTTAATTTTAAAATGGATTTTGTTAATTAATTTTTATTGTTGATTTAATTAATTTTTGTTTAGGATTTTAGTTTTAGTTTTAATTTAGAATTATATTAGAATTAGTTCTAATTAGATAATTATTTTAGACTTAGATTTTAGTTTTAATTTTAATTTTAGAATTAGATTAGGATTTAATCTTGAATTAATTTAGGTTTATCTTTTGTTTATAACTTAATTAATTTTAGAATTTAATTAGTTAGAATTTAGATTTAATTTTGACTAACTAGGCTTTTTAATTCTTTTTTTTTTAATTTTAGGTTTAGTTTCGATTAATTCTCGAGCGCATTTGTGAATATTTTTTCCGATACTTGTATATATTTTCTCATGGATATTAATTTGGCGTTGTTTGTGATTGCGTTGCTTCTTGTTTACTTGTTGTTTACCCTTATATTCACTTGATCCTTTAGGATTCCTAGCTCGAATTAATTTCCAATTAAGTTCGAGGTAGGAGAGACATTAGGTTTTCAATCCAAACATGACAACATTAGGTATACTTCCCTCCGAATCCTGACTTTGTATGACAACAGTTAGAGTTCAGTCTCCCTTATACCTTCTGTGTGTCTCTCTTCTCTCTCAAAACAATAATTCAAAACACTTAATAAACACGATGAGTATTGTACGCTAGAGTGTTTAGCGTATGCCCCGAGGGTGATATGGGACGCATTCGCTCCTATGTCATAGACTTTAGTGCAGTACGCATCTCAAACAAAGTCAATTCACTTCTGTTAAGGCGTTTCTGGCCTCGGATTTTTTCTCTCGCCCCCGTGCGATCGAGATCCCATTTTCCCGTAGTAGCATGAACTACGTATGCTCTGATTCCTTATTCCCTAATGAGGATACATAGGCACGAGGATCCCTATCCTTGGCAAGCACACTAACAACTAACTTCCCTTTTCTCTTGCCCCAGTGATATTGAGACCAACCTGTTAAATCAAACCCTTTCTCTCGCCCTAGTGCGATCGAGATCTTCTCCCGTAGTTACATGAACTACGTTTGCTCTGATTTCTCATACCAAATGAGGATACGTAGGAACAAGACATCGATGTCTTGGCGAGAAACCTCCCCCCATCACCCGTAGTTTTCTGAACTACGTTGACATTAACTTTCCCATTGCACGAGGGAATACGTAGGCATAAGGTAGCGATGTCCTATCGAGTCCGTTCTTCCTCTTCACCCCGGTTTAGCAGTAGCTTTTAGATAACTTTCACTCATAGATTAGACAACAAGCTTAGATCCCGTTGAGTACAACGGACGTGATGGGTGCTCACACCTTCCCCTTGTGTAACCGACTCCTGAATCCAAGATTTGGTTGCGATGACCTTGTCTTTCCCGTTCTTTTAGGTTTTCTTCGATCGTTTCCTTTCCCTCTCTTTGGGATAAATAACATTCGGTGGTGACTCTTCTGCTTGTTTTTGCCGGCCCCTTTTTCGCAGTTGCGACAGGCCCGTGCCAGACCCGATGGGAGAAATACGACTGAAGTTGAAGAACAACATGATGACACGACCGCCCGTGTTAGCCATACTGAGTGGTGAAATTTAAATTTTTTTCTCTCCCTCTTGGTGGGCCTCACACGAGTTATAACCCATTAAACTTACTTTACACCATGGTTGTCAAACTCGCGGGTAGACTCGTAAAATCGTACGAGTTTACGAGTCTAGGAAGCATAAACGAGTAAACTCATACATAGAATCTTTTTTTGATAGACTCGAGTAAACTCGGGTAGACTCGCACAAACTCGTATAGAATCGCGAGTCTATAATGAGTTTACGAGTCCATAAGTTTTTTTTTTGAATTTTTTTAAAACCAAAAAAGGCCTAAATTCCCCAAAAGATTTTATTTTATTTAAAAAACACCCTTATTTTTTTTTCTTGTACGATAATTAGAAAGTATCTCTCTCTTCATCAACGACGTGAGTTTATTTTGTCTCTTTCTTTGTTCGTCTTCATGGACGTAAATTAATCCTTTATTTTGTAAGTATTTTCTTATATGATTCAATTTGATGCTTCTCGTGTATGATATATTGTGTAAAGGTGGTGCACCATTGTCCAATCAGGTCCAATGATCCCAATGCACATGTATCAATTTGCATGTGACAAAATAGTTTAGAAAGTTTATGATTTATGGCAGAAAATAGTTTAGGAAGGATATGTTACCTACTAAAGAGTGAGTTTCTACGGAGATATGACTCTATAATTAAAGAGGTTTGTAATTTGTGTTCTAAGCTTAACTTATAGCTCTTCTAGTTGTGAACATAATTGGAATTTCTTTGAAATGGCAATGAATTATTATTTGTTTGTTTATAGACTTGATTTTAATATTTTTAGAAACATTGAGTTAAATTATTATTTACATTTTAGGTTCATAAAAAGAGAATATGTTGCATCAAAACGAGGTAAATAATTTGGTTTATGTCATGTAGAATTTAAAGTTGAATAATAGAAAAGGAAAATCAAATAGTGTTGTTATTTCATTTGTGTCATATACGAGGCATTTATAAGTTTAAGAACACATGAGTCTGTCATATATGTGTAAATTATAGGTTTTTGAATGTCATTTTTTATTTTCCAAAGACTCGTACGAGTTTGCGAGTCGAGTTTGCGAGTCGAGTCTACAGACCCTAAACGAGTCTGAGTAGACTCGCGAGTTTGACAACCTTGCTTTACACCTAATCTAATCAGATTTTTCATCTCTCTACCACCTTTCATCATCTTCTTCTTCCTCTCAATCATAAAACTCCATAACCACTTATCCTAAAGCTCGAATCTTTTCGTTTTCCATACACCAAAATGTCATTCTCCCTTCACAAAAGTGCTTATCTCTCTATCCTTAACATTATTCTGGTTTCTTTTTTCACTAACACTCAGTTTTATTTCTCACGAATTTTTCTCTGAATTTCATGTACAAAGCGAAAATGCCTCCAAGAAAGGTAGTTAGAGGAAAGCAGACGGGCATTGGAACCGTAAGGCCAAGAAAACGAGCAAGCCAGACGCTGAACACGTACAACATTATGTTTAAAAACCCCAAACACGAGAAACGTTACGCATGTCATGTGAAGCGTAAGATTATGCCAACCAAGTATATGTGTAATACCACTCTTTTTGAATTAGAATTGAATATAGAAATTATAGAATATTTCATAGTCTGGGAATGTTAGAATTCATGCATTTAGAAGCTCAAACGTATGAACGCATAACATTGGAGTTTTTAAGTACAATTGAATTTCATTTGGAAAAAAATGGACCGACACTATGAAATATTTCTTTGGCACAATACGGTTTAGACTGTTCAATGTTGACCATGAGCTCAGTATGGAAGAGCTGGAGGTATCCTCCAACTTCCACTGTATGGCCCAGGAACTGTCCTGGAGACTTTTGATGCGAAAGCATTCTGGATAGTGATTACAGGTAATACTGAGTATGTTTAAAAAGGTGCCAAAACATATGGTCTTCAATATCATTGTTTCAGGTATGCACAAAAAGCATTAGTGTACACTCTATTCGGGAGGGGAGATAGTCTCGGAGTGGCCAATCAAAGGGAGTTGTTTTTCCTGTATTATATGGAAAACTCTGAGATGGTAAGTGTTGCCGCTTTTACAGCAGATTATTTGGGGAGAGTAGGACGAGCAGCTCAAGAGGGAATCTCTGTGGGAGGCATGATAACCCAGATAACCAATCACTTTGGCTATGATCCTACTGATTTATGTGACACACCAGTGTCAGGTAAAAATAGGTTTGATATGGCGGCCATGGTCCAACAAGGTATGATTTCTATTACTCAGAGTTATTATGCTATAATGAGTCATAACAGGTTAGTAATTGCCCTACCGGATCCTAATAGAGTTAGCATTTCTAATATGAATAATTGGATTAATGATAGTACCGTCAAAGATGAAGACGAGTACCATGCTGACCCTTTTCCTATAGGAGAACAGGAAGAAGAAGACGCTCAAGTGTTTAAGTAGTTTGTCCCTGAGTAGTTTGTGCTATCACAAGAGGAACATATGTATACCGGTGCGGGAAGCTCATCCACTGTTGATAACAATTGGTCATGGGTGTGTGGAGAAATAGGGTACCTCAGGGCAGAGCAAACTCGACAAGCAGAGGAGCAAGCTCGCTAAGAGGCGCTCATGGATGACATGCACAACATGATGCAGCAGCTGATGTTGTGTTTTCCTCCTCCTCAGTGAGGCCCTGTGAGTCCCCTCTCATACGTGTTCTAAAACATTGAAGTCAATGTTTGGTTAAGTATGAGGGGGGGGGGGGGTTATTGTATTTTATTTTAGTATTTATAATTATGTTATATTAGTTTCATTTTGATGTCCTTTACTTTGATTCAATATGTATTGTGTACTTTGTGTTACAGATAGATGAGATTCGACTGGATGAGTGATGAACGAGTAGTTAGAGGATGAAAGATTCAAACCCATACTTGCTACCTAGGCACCCCAAAAGTTGATATAACCAAAAAAAATTGTCGGACGTAGCTTGATGACAACGAACCGAGAGTGGAAGGTTGACCCAAACCAGAAAAGAAGCAGCATTACATGAGAAGTGATTTGGAACCTGTAAGCTGTACCCAAAATGATGAGTGCATAATAAGCCAAATATTACATCATCATGAGAGTTGTATTAGGTATGACTTTATCGCTTTGAATTTGCATACGTTCTACTCACATAGCACTACATGAGAACATACACTAAGGCAATTGTTTTTTGGGTTTAAGCCTTAAGCCTTTCAAGCCTTCCCTTCATTATGTTTATCCTTTGTTACCCCCTATTGAGCCTGAATCCAATTGTTTGTAATAACCACCAGCGTTAACCCATGGCCAAACACTCCCTACCCTGCTCGGCA